TCTTGTAAGCACGAATGTCGGAGTCGGGCGAGGCGGTGTCCTCGAGAAGAGATGGCATAATAAAGGCCATGAACTGAGAAGAACCGCGAGTTAACAAAGTTAGTAGAGGAGATCAAAAACTATAGAAATAATCGATTGAAGGCAAAGATAGTTACCCGGGAGAAGCAAAGGAGCGCACGACTCGCACGGTCATAGGGGTCACGGGCGGCGCGTTCCTTGTCGGCGGCAGGAATGACGGAGTCGAAATATTTGGCGATTTCGTGCGGATGGGGATGATCCCAAAGTCGGGAGGGCCTCTCGAGGGTTACCGTCTCGAGCTGTCCGGGAGGAGGAGGAGCTTGCTCGACTGCCTTACCCTTGTCTTTCTTTTGGCGCTTGAGCGAGCTGGGGACAAGGGTGACATCACCAGTATCCTGGACCCACTTTCGGGGAATCGAGCCGGAAGCTTTCTTCTGACTCCCCGCAGGCGGAGGCACGGCCCTCGTTTCCTTCGAGGCATTCGTCTCGACTGCCGCCTCTCCTGCGTCAGATCCCGAGACGAAATCGGGCTTCTTCGGAGGGGTGGGTCGAGCCGCCGTAGACTTCTCGAACCGAGAAAGAACAGAATCTACAAAAGAACATCAAATATCAGATACCAGCATAAAGGTAAAATAGTGAAGGCATGAAAATCACTTACGAGGATCGTCGAGACGAGGAAGATTCTCGTCGACAACGAGACCAACATGGTTAAGGAGGGATAACTCCTTGATCAGCGGGCGAGCCATGAAGGTATATTTATTGAGCTCGGCCAGCATCGACTCGAACATAAAAGATGGCGGTCGCTTATTTTGTTTAACCTTGGACGTAATCCAAGTATTCGGGTATGGATACAAACCGGAGGCAGGTCGAATAAAGACAAACTTAGATTTCCACCTCGTCACGTTCGAAGAAAGGTCATCAAGAAAAGTGACTCCAGCACGACGACCCAGACAATGGGCGTCCTTTATGAATCTATAACTATAACAATAAAAAAGAAACTCGGGAGAAAAATATTGAAGCTTTATTTTGGAGACGACGATGAACGCGATCATAATACGGAGGGCATTGGGCGAAAACTGATTTATGGGTACATCATACAAATCGCTAATTGCACGAAGCTCGGGTTGAATAGGAAAACGAAGGCCGAATAGCACTTGATCAATAAAGAAGGTATAGAAGCTAGGAGGGGGTTTAGCGAAGTCGTCATTAGGACGGGGAATGACCAATTCCCAATCGGCGGGAAGTCCGTTGAATGCCCTGAAGCCCTCGACCTCGGCTGCAGAGGCATAACAAAAAGGATTTAAAATAGCTATTTTTGCTAAAGGACATGCTACAGATACAACATTTCGAACCTCGAGGAGAGGCGCGATTATTGGAAAAGAAGGAGGACTAGCTCTATATACAGGTAAATCTAAAATCCTAAGGGGAATACCTGGAGGAATGAGGTCGAGACGAGGAGACTTATTGACACGTGAAGACTCAGGATCTTCAGTCAAGACACCCGACATCCATGCCTGTCTAATAGCATCTTAGTCGATGCCGAAAGAAGAAACATCCGAATGAGAATTCGGAGACTGATCGGCTGGTTTGAAGCCGACTATTTGTACCGAATCAGATGATTGAGCGCCGGCGTCGATCAAGCGTTCGACAGTATCGGGTGAAGAGTCGGTATCAGAATCTAGAAAAAGAAACGAAAGAAAAGTCGATTAGGAGAAAAGAAGTCAGCATGAAGCAAGGGTTAACACAAGTCGACTCAAGGAAACCATCACAAGTCGAGCTAGAGGAATAGAAGGAAAACGACGAGAAAACAGATTCAAGGAAGATGGAACCATGGAATGATGCTCGACTTAGCGAAGACGAGAAGGGTATAGTGCATATCGATATCTAACATAAGACGACTTAATGAAAAGCCCTACTCACGCGATAAAAACCGGGGAGGGTAAGGCGGTGACAAACAGATAACTCGAGAAAATTCCTAAGAAAAGAAGATCTAACTCAAAGAGACAAAAAAGTATTAAGAACATGAAGAACATGCAAAGGCGCTCCAGATCAGAAAAACCCAGAAGTGCAAAAAAAAAAAAAAATCATGAAAAATCGAAGAAAAAAGAAGAAAGCGAAAAAGTTCAAAGAGCATAATACTTACACATGATCGTCGTTGAAAGACTTGAAACTTGCGGTTGTCGGAGAAGGGATTGCCGATGAAGCTCGAAAGCGCTTTATTGCCGGAGAGATTCGAAAGCTCAGAAGAATTTGAGAAAGTGAAAAGTGATTTGGAACTGAGGGGGAAGATATTTATACAAGAGGCAGGAGGATCCTAGCCTTTAGATTTAATTGGAATCAACGGTTCGGATGAGTTGCGGAATTCGAGGCGGCGGACTTAAAGTGATGTGATAATTATGAATTTGAAATTCGAAATTTGGAAAGGAAGAGGGAAAAGGTGTCAGGTTGTCAGAATGACCTAGAAGGCAATGATGAAACCCCTACAGCATTGAACAGCCACAGGGGTAGAGCTTTTGATGTCGAGAAATAGAGAACGAGTATAGTTAATAAAAGAAGTCGAGTACCAAATTTACTCTTAAACAGTCGACTGTTTAGAGTAATTTTCGGGGGGGACTAGATGATATAGTCATATAAGGATAACCCGGTTTAAGAGGTTTTCCACTCGAACGGTGAGCCCTTTGAACGACTCACATATCAAAATGACTCGTCTACATATTCAAGTCGACTTCCTCGAAGTCGACTCTACCGGAAACAAGCAATAAGAGGCAGAAATCAGTCTAGTCGACTCCCTAAAGTCGACCTCCAACTATCGACTTTGGCTAGTCGACCTCGCACTAGAAGGACATCAAGAAGGCAATCCCCGACCATCCAGATACTCTAAGTCAACTTCCATTAGTCGACTTCCTCATGACGACTCTCTAAGAAACGACCACTGCAGGGAGTTAAACCAGGTGGCCTCGGGGATCGCATATATTCATAAGTCGACCTCCTAATGCTCGAGGACGACTTTGTATATCTCGAGGATCAGAATGGTGAAGTCGATTCGCCACACTTGTAACATATCCAAAGCTCTATACTTTACCAAGGATAAGAAGGAATCTGGCGATGACTCAGCAGCAAAGAGGAGACGAATCGACAGGGGCATTTTGGACCTTCTAGGTCCACCGATTTGGGCATTTTGGACACTTCATGTAAGTATTCACTCCTATATAAATGAGATGAGGTAACCCTAAACCCTAACTCTCTTTCATTCCACTCTCCCCCATAGCTGCTGCGCAGCCTCTCTTCATCACTCTCATACTGACTTGAGCGTCGGAGGCTCTACGCCGGAAACACCTCCGGCGTTGAGTGTTTGCAGGTATTCTTGCGGTCTAGCAACGGTTTCAAGGCGGTTCAAGCAGATCTGAGCTCACAACCACCGGTTTACTCCAGATCCAGAAGTAGACCCATCAGTTTCTATCATGATGAATTATATAAAATATGTTGATATACTTCTATGGAGTTAATATGAAAATATAGAATATTTTTTATATAAAATAAATAATACATAAATAAATTACATTTTATATTATTAATTATATTATCGTTTTTAAATTTGTAAGAATATACGATATCAATAATTTATTTAAAATACACTTCAATTAATATTTGTACTATCATATATTGACAACTGAAATTATTATATAACATTTCATAATTTTTTCAAACTCAAACATTGTATAATTTTTTGTTAATTATTTCATTTATTTTATATGTTGAGTCTACAACTAATATACATAAAAGAGCAAATATTCACACAAAATTTCGGTGACATCATTTAATGATTGTGAGTTTAGTTTGATGTCAAATAAACTAAGGAATCATAATTTTAATGCAATGTTTTTAACCATTAGTTTTAAATATTATTATTTTCAAAATTATATTTCAACTTTCAATATATTTGACACTGTCCATTATGTAATGTACTTCTTGTGTTTGGTTAATTGAAAATAGTAATGCAAAAAATAGAATAGATCATAAAAATATAAATGAGAAAATATAATTTAAAATCACATTAAAATATAAATTATGTATTACGTGCATCGCACGTGCACTTTACTAGTTTGACGAAAAGGACATCGACCTAATATCAATATGTTGTTTAATGTTTTTTATTTTTTTATTAATGATGTGATAATTTGATAATCCCATTTATATTTCAAAGTTTTTACAAAATTTCATAGTTTTCATTTGCAACAATTTAATATATTGTCAATTTGATCATTTTTATCTATAAAATATATATTATGAATAAGAGAAATGCTATAGCCTAGAGGTACATGAGTGTTATGTACACCTCTATATACATTTATTATGTACTTGTAGTATTTTTCTATGAATAATAATATATTACCTGAAATATATCCATGACCTCTTAGTAATTTTCGAAAAATATTATAATACCAGAAATTCGAGTCAAATGCAAAAGTTGCATCCGTTTCGAGTTTTGCTGACGAACACCCTTCAAATGATCTTCAGCCGCTCAAAACTCATCTTTCCTTTCCACACATTCCACATCATATGGCTAGAAGGTGAGTGAAGAGAATACTACATATCTAAGAATGAGTTCAATTATTTTAGTACATTTCAACCTATGGGAGTTGGTACATCCATCATAGCTTGTCCAGATTACTCAACCTATAAACTGCAGATTACAAAGTGCGTGGATCAAATGGGCAAAGAGTATGTGCTTAAGATCTCGACTTTGCATTGTTTGGCTAGTAGAGAAAAAGATCTCGACTTTGCACTCGAGTTAAATCGACCATTTACTAGATTTGCAACGCTGAGTTTTAGAAATCCCCTTATGTGGGTACAAAGATAGCTTGCAAAGCTGCAAGAATTTGAAGTTCATTGTATGAAAAAACCAAAACATATTAACTCCCCGGTTTCTTCTATCGTTCATCATATTCATTCCTGGCTATACAATCAACCATAAGACCAAATCAATCACTACTCGGGAAGAACCACATAGGCGGTGGGAAAGTCTTTGTCATATTCTTGAGATGACACGGATAATAGCATGACGACACAATCATGTTCTCGTAATCGAAAATGCCAATGTCATGGCCACCAGTCGGGTGGTCCTCCATATCAAAACCATCCACAACATCTGTAAAGTAAATGGAATTGGGTTTGAGCTCCGGGAACTCTTCCCCCACCCGCAACGCGACTGCATCACTGTGGTGGCCCACAAAAACAGCCCAGCCACCTAAAGACTCTGCGGACTTAAAATCCTTATCCTCAGGGTCATATACATCAACAGAAAAATCAACGGTCACACTCAGAAGGCCTCGTTGGTAGACATCCTAAGACCAGTCAGCGCTGTCCACATACAATCCATCAAAATCAAATGATCTGACTATGAATTGAGTCACCACGAGGAGACCCTGCCCGACCACTACCAAATGATTCACTGGCTTACATGTTATCCAAAAGTGCTGCGTTTCCTTTTCCCTTTCATCCTCTTCCTCTCCCTCTGTTGTTTCCTCTGTTGTTCTCTTATAGCGTATGCCTGTACCCTTCTGACCAACATCGGCTATCTTCACAGCCCTCGGTGAGTGAGGGTCCCAGATATCCCAAGCTTCCAACACGCCTTTTTTCGTGAGGCTAAATAATGCTTCGTGTCTTTTGGAGTAGACACAATTCATATAGGCCTGGGAAAAGGGCCTTCCCGGAATCTTTTCATCAAGCCAGTGGTGATCGCCGATGTGGGTCCACTCCTTGCTGAAGGCAGGGCAGCAGAAAGCCAGAGCCCATACACTGTTGTAGAGAATGATGGCTCGACAATTTGGGTCTTCCGGGGAGCACGAGAGTATGACCTTGTGTAATTCGGTCGTGCCATTGTGATCGGGCAGTTCGCGAACCGAAGGGAGGTTTATCCGGCGACCGGAGATGGGATTATAGAGGAACAGATCGAAAGCTGGGGCTTAATAAAGCGAGCCAGCCGCGTGAAGATCCCGTGAACAATGTGTGTGGGTCGGTTAATTCTCTTTCTTGGAGGCTATTTTGGGTTACGATTTTGTTGTCGGCGAGGCTGTAGAACTTGTAGCTTAAGCTACCGGTGCCGTCGTAGGCCGGAGGCAGCATAAGCCAAGGAGATGACGAGGAGGAGGATGATGGGTTTTCGGACAACGTGCTCATACCTTTCGGGCAAACGCTAGAAGAACAAGATCCAATCATCCATACAATCGGATGATTAGATAATCTGGTAAACCATTTCCGACCAATCGAACGGGTTATTATTGAGAAAGAAGAAGAAGAAGCCATCAATTCGATAGATTAACTTCCAAAGTCAAAAGAGGCGCAATCTTAAGCTTATCGCTCTGTTTTATCGCTTACGACTTGTCTTATATATGCTTTTAGGTAGGGTTGTCAGAGAGAGAAGAAAGAAAAAAAAGGGTCGGGTAGACCTGGAAATATGGGGTCGCGGGTCATGCGTGAGATTTTCATATATTAGCGTATAAAATGTCGGGTCGGGTACGGGTACGGGTTTTAATTATATTAAAACCAATTAAAAAAATTACCCGACCTGGTTATCCAGTGGGTTTTTTTTTTTATACCTGACCTATCCTTTTAGCCGGCCCGATTAAGGCTGCAAACGAGTCGAGCCGAGTCGAGCATTCGCCTTATCGAGCATGATTGATTTTTTTTTTAGCTGCTCGAGCTCGTCGAGCTCGATTTATGAGGCTCGAGTTCTACTAGATAAGAAAATACAATAGCTCGAACTCATCTCGAAAATATTTAAGTTAAATTAAGATTAACCATTTGTGTTATACTATTTAAATATATATAAGAGGTATTTTAGTAATTTAATATATATATCGAGCCGCTCGACAATGCAAAATATGGGCTCGAGCTCGAGTCGAGCTTTGACTCGAGTGCCCGCGAGCAACTGGTGAGCCGCTTGACTCATTTACAGTCCTAGGCCCGATTACCCGCACACCTAAAATATATATATATATACACAAATAGATATACAAAAAATATATGTTCAGAAAAATTGTAATTTAGTAAATAAAATATTTAAAATTTTCATAGATGTTGAATGAAGAATGAAGGTGTAGTAGATTCATATAAGTTAGTACCTAACTTTTTGTTACTTCTTCTATATTATCTAGTTTATACAATATATAAATGTTACATCTTTATAAGTATGCGCATCACATATATAATTATGGCTATATATATAGAGATTGGTTCCAATGCATCCACTTATTTAAAGTGTGGACGTGAGACTCATTCCTAGCCACAAGATTTGGTACATCATGTGTGGCCAAGATTTACTCTTTTCTTTTTATTATTTTAATTATTTAAATATTATTTTGACCCGTTGACTCTGGCGTTGACCGTTGACTTCCGGCATTGACCGTTGACAACTAACCTTCCAACTAGGTTAGTTATCTGTAGTTGCTAGGTTAGTTCTTTGTAGTTGCTAGGTTAGTTGTATGTAGTTGCTAGGTTAGTTCTCTGTAGTTGCTAGGTTAGTAGTAGCTAGGTTAGTTATATGTAGTTGCAAGATTAGTTCTCTGTAGTTGCTAGGTTAGTTGTCTGTAGTTGTTAAGAGCTGGGCGCATTTTAAGAGCTGGACACATTTTAAGAGCTGTACGCATTTGATCCGCCCCCTATATATAAATATACATATATATATATATATATATATATATATATATATATATAATAGCTCTAATTACTAGAAATCGCATATATATACTAAATAATAATAAACTAGAAAAATAAATTTATAGGTGTATAGTGTATTCTATATATCTATCTATATTTAATAGTCAAAATGGATTAGCATTAATTACTTTCTATTAACAGCAAATTTGTTTTCTCCCTTTCAAAACACGCCGGCAGCATTACGTTAAAACACGCGTGATTCAAACTTTCTTATTAAGTGCAATAAAAGGTAAGTGCATTGAATATTATTATAAAAATTTGCAGAGTATCATTTAATGAACCACAAATGACAAACATTAAACAAAAGTGAGCAATCATGTAGTAATACACAAATAAGTAACGTATGTAATTATATTTAATAGGCTTGAAATTGTACATTTTTCTTTTAGTTGATATACTTGAAATTGTACATTTTTCTATTTGAAAATTTTAATTAAGAAAATATAAAATATATATAAATAAATATTTCAATCATCAAGTATATGTGACATTGAATTGATAAAGTAACGAGTCATCTTTAAATTAATATATGATTTATTAGTTTAGTAATAAAAGAACATTTACATAAATTAATTTATCATTCATGAAATATAGTTATTTGGTAGGGATAGAAGTGTATTTGGAAATTTTAAAAACAAAATACGTGGTATAAATTTTATTAGGTAGGAGTATGAAAGCCAAATTTTAGGCTGATTTGTCGTAAAATCAAGGTGATGATAATTCTCAAATTTTAGCATATTGCAATAATATCTTGCCATAAGATTTGAAGAAATATTGGTTAATAAAATTAAAAATTAGTAATTTAATTCTAGAAAATTAATTGATAAATTTGAACGATAAGGTAACCGACAACAACTCTGGAAAATTGTGATATATATATAAATATATATATATATATATATATATATATATATATATATATATATATATATATATATATATATATATATATATATATATATATATATATATATATATATATATATATATATATATATATATATATATATATATATATATATATATATATATATATATATATATATATATATATATATATATATATATATATATATATATATATATATATATATATATATATATATATATATATATATATATATATATATATATATATATATATATATATATATATATATATATATATATATATATATATATATATATATATATATATATATATATATATATATATATATATATATATATATATATATATATATATATATATATATATATATATATATATATATATATATATATATATAAGGGAATTTGGTGTGTAGTCCAACTTTGGATTCCAAATTCATTAGTCAAATAAGTAATTATTCATAACTTACAAGTGACATTAACTTTGACGTAAATAGTCAATTATTCATAGTTTAATAAATTACTCAACCACTTCAATATTTTGATTTGAATTTTTATACAAAAATAAAATCATCTAATTAATGGAACACTATATGATTCATAATTATACTTATTATTCACATAGATTTTTGAATAGACGATAAAATCTTACTAAAATATTTATTCTGTGGAATCACATTGTAATCAAATTGAATATCTGAATAAAATCTTTAAAACTACACTTATTTTGAATGAGTATAATGTAATATATTATCAGTTATGTGCACCATACGGGTTGTGTACTAATTTTAATAGACATGTTTTATGTACTTTTGCACAATTTTAAATTTTATATAACATTTTCAATAAATTAATATAGGTAAAATGTGATATTGATTCCATATTTTTAATTTATAAATATTATTTAATAAGCAATTTTAATTTATAAATATTAAAGAATATCTCTTACCCGTGCATCGCACGGGGATTCGTACTAGTTTATATCTTTACAAATATTACAAACTATGAGTAATTAAATATTATCTATGTAAAACGTGTTGATACTCAATTTGACCTCGATTAATAAAAATGTTACACGTGGATATGTATTAAATAAATATAAAATATAAAATAGCAGGTTCTTTGAGCTGATCATTTAATATCAATCGAATTCCCAAACGTGAAGATCGCCCGCATCCAAGCCAAGCGGAAATTAATATTACCAGCCCGACCTGAATTTCTTAAAGAAGTCAGCCCGATAGATACAATAATAGCCAATAAGACATACGTCAATGGAAGCCGTCAACCATCATAATCGGCCCGTACGGTCACATCACATTAATAGCTCATGTACTATTATATTAATATATGACAAAAGTCATATGAAGGGGGATATAAATAGGGTGTTGCTATTTACTACCCTTTTATTACTACGTACCGCCCTCCTTGGACAATTTTTCCCCTGACATTTTTTCAAAAAAGTAAAAAAAAAAAAATTCTCGTCGTCCGGCCGGTAAAACCAGCTGTGCACGGCGCCGTCTGATTCGCCAGTTGGACGCGACCGTGCACATCCGATTTCGCCAGTAGGATGCGACCGTGCACGTCCGCAATCGCCGGTAGGACGCGACTGTGCACGTCCGCGATTGCCGGCCGGACTGCAGTTTTTTTTTTTTATCATTTTTTTTGTTATATTAGAATTTATATATTATTATGTCATAAATTCGAACTTAGAAATTATTATACTATAAATAACTATTAAACTACAATTTATCTAAATTGACGTAAATTAAATTTAAGTGAATTTTATTTTTAATATATTTTTTTAACCTAAATTAAGTGAATTTTATTTTTAAATTTTTTAACCTAAATTTATTGAATTTTATTTTTAATATGTATACTAATACAACTAATTAATATATATATATTATTTTTAAATTATTTTATTAATTATATTTTTATAACTAATTAATTATATTTTTAATAAAAAATATATATATTATAATTATATTTATTATAATTATTAATAAAAATTTATATTTTTTTATAATTGTATTTTTTTATATATACAACTTGTTTAAATTTATATATATAATTAATTAAATAAAAAACGTCCGGCTGCCAGTGGACGTCCGGCGGGACAGAGAGAGAGAAAGAGAGAGAGAGAGAGAGAGAGAATGAGAGAATGAGAGAAAGAGGTAAACGAAAAAAAAAGTAACTGGGGTAGGCGGTACGTAGTAATAAGGGGGCAGTACGTAGCGATTCACTATAAATACGGTAGCCTCAATTATTGGAGGAAAGCTTTTTCTTTCTTCCTAAGAAGGAAAAACAAAAAGAGAAGGAGAGAAAAATACATATTCTTCATTTTCTTCAATTGTTTATACAATCATACTAAAATCCCATGAATATCATATATTGATCAAATTTCGCATATCATTAAAACGCTATGTATAAATCTATAACTAGTTATTTGAAATAGGATTGATAATTCGTGAAACGCCAGAATAGTGTATAAAATGCAAGAGAGCTACCATACTTTATAATACATATAAGTTATAGGAAAATGCTACGGTACCGTTACGGAACCATTTCGTCGGGGTTTGTAACCGTTAGATCATCATATAACCGTCAGAAATAGTTGATTTAACGGTTACAAATCCCGACGGAATGGTTCCGTAACGGGACCGTAGCATCTTCCTAAGTTATAATATATGTAGAATTTAGACAACTATTTCCTNCATACTTTTAAAGATGTATGATTTATATATTGTATAAACTAGATAAAATAGAAGAAGTAACACAAAGTGAGGTAATAACTTATGTGAATCTACTCCATCTTCGTTCTTCATTCAATATCTATGAAAACTTTAAAATATTTTATTTACTAAATTACTATTTTTTTGAACATATATTTTTTATATATCTATAGGTAGTTATTAGGTGTGCGAATAATCGGGCTGGCTAAAAGAACAGGTCGGGTAAAAAAAATACCCACCGGGTAATCGACTTGGGTATTTTTTTAGTTTTTTTTAATATAATTAAACCTGTACCCGACCTGTGTCCTGATATTTTCATGTCTACTCGACTCGGATTTTTTTTTTTTCTCTCTGACAACCCTACCTAAAAGCATATATAAGATAGGGAGTCAAAAGATTGTGCCTCTGTTGACTTTGAAAGTTTATCTATCGATGGCTTCTTCTGCTTTATCAACCATAACCTGTTCGATTGGTCGGAAATGGTTTGCCGGATTATCTAATCATCCAATTGTATGGATGATTGGATCTTCTTCTTCTAGCGTTTATTCGAAAGGCATGAGCACGTTGGCCGAGCCGATGTCAACGAAACAAAACCCATCGTCATCTCCTTGGCTTATACTGCCTCCAACCTTTGACGTCACCGTCATCGGCACCGCCAGCTTAAGCTACAAGTTCTACAACCTAGCCGACAATAAAATCGTAACCCTCTATATAGGAAAAAGTTGCTATGAAAGAGAATTAACGCATCTGCACATGCGTTTGGCAGGATCTTCACACGGATGGCTCGCTTTGTTGAGCCTCAGGCTGGATCTATTTCTGTATAATCCCATCTCCCGTCGCCACATAAAACTCCCTTTGGTTCGTGATCTGACCATATTTCCTGCTAGCCCCACCATAATGTACAAGTTCATACTCTCGTGCTCCCCAGAAGACCCAAATTGTCGAGCCATCATTATCTACAACAACATGTATGCCCTAGCTTTTTGCTGCCCTGCCTTCAGCAAGGACTGGACCCATATCAGCAAAGGCTATTGGGATTGTGTCTACTCCACAAGACATGAAGCACTGTTTAGCCTCACGAGAAAGGGCGTGTTGGAATCTTGGGATCTTCATTCACTGAGGGCGGTGAAGATAGCCGATGTTAGACGCATTGGACTAGTTAGAATTAGGTATCCGAGGAAAAGATATAATAATCATAAAGAGGAGGAGAATGACGACTTGCGGCTAACGTGTGATGCAGTGCAGCATCTGGTAGTGGCCGGGCGTGATCTCCTCGTGCTGTCTCAATACGTGGCTTGTTTTGATTTTGATGGATTGTATGTTGACTGCAATGACCCGCATCAGGATACCATCGAACGAGGCCTTCCGTTTTTTACTATTGATTTTCGTGTTTATAGATATAATCCTGAGGCTGAGGATTTAAAGTACATCAACTCTTTAGATGGCTTGGCGCTTTTCGTCGGCTACCACAGCGATGCATTTGCGTTGCCCGCGGCAGAGTTTCCAGAGCTCAAACCCAATTTCATTTACTTCACGAATGCGCTTGATGATGTAATGAGTTAGGATTAGGTATCCGAGGAAAAGATATAATAATCATAAAGAGGAGGAGAATGATGACTTGCGGCTAACGTGTGATGCAGTGCAGCATCTGGTAGTGGCCGGGCGTGATCTCCTCGTGCTGTCTCAATACGTGGCTTGTTTTGATTTTGATGGATTGTATGTTGACTGCAATGACCCGCATCAGGATACCATCGAACGAGGCCTTCCGTTTTTTACTATTGATTTTCGTGTTTATAGATATGACCCTGAGGATGAGGATTTAAAGTACATCAACTCTTTAGATGGCTTGGCGCTTTTCGTCGGCTACCACAGTGATGCATTTGCGTTGCCCGCGGCAGAGTTTCCAGAGCTCAAACCCAATTCCATTTACTTCACGAATGCGCTTGATGATGTAATGAGTCCGGATACACCAACTGGTGGCCATGACATCGGCATTTTCAATTATAAATACAAGACTGTGTTGCCATGCTCTTATCCATGTGATGTCAAGAACATGAGCAAGACTTTCCCAGTGCCTACTTGGTTCTTCCCAAGTCCGCGTGCATGATTTGGTCTTATGGTTTTGGTTTAGTAAATCTTGATAATTAAACAACAACAACAACAACAACAACATACCCAGTATATTCCCAACAGGTTGGGGTCTGGGGGGTCAGTTGTACGCATACCTTACCCTTGTAATTATACAAGCAGGCTGTTTCCGTAGCGACCGAAGGTGCATTGCGCCGTTTGATATATTTTTTTTTCTAGAAACTTCACTAATAGAAGAAGCACTAGAATTTAATAAGTTTTGATTTTTTCATACAAAGAACTTCAAATTCTTGCATCTTGCAAGCTATTTTTGTAGCCATATATGGGGATTTCTAAAATTGCCAATCATTACAATTATTAATTTTTACTACATTAAATTTTCGCGTGACCAGTACTATATATCTACAACAACACACGGTGCCAAAAAACCCTCGTGCCCCTCGTGGCTTCTAACTTCTTAGTCTCCATCCACTGCTCTGAACAATTTTGTATTTATACCAATCCCACATCGTAATAATTGATGACAACTCCACCTGTAAACTCCTCCTTCACAATGCTCTCTACAAAACTGCCACTACAGTACAGGCCATCAGCAGTTTATTCTCCGACCAAATTCTGAACGAGAATGTCGATTTCGGCAGAATCGAAGCATTTCGTGGCCGTGCACGGTGTCGGGCACGGCGCGTGGGTCTACTACAAGCTCAAGCTGCGAGTCGAGGCCGCCGACCACCGGTTCACGCCGCTCAGCCTGGCGGCCGCCGGCAATAGCCCCAAGAAGCTGCAGGAGGTCGATCATTGCACGACTATACCGAGCCATTGCTCGAATTCTTGGACTCTGTCCCCGAGGGCAAAAAGATAATTTTGATAGGGCACAGCGGAGGAGGATACGCGGCCGCCTACGACATGGAGAAGTACCCGGGAAAGATCTCGGTGGCCGTCTTCTTGAATGCCCTCATGCCCGACACGAAAAATCGACTGTCATATGCCAGAAGCTTACACAAGTCGAGTTTGAGCTCATATTTTTGTTTATTAAATAGTCGAGCTGATCCGACTTATTTATTAAACTATCACAAGATTAAACATGAGGTATTCAACTTGACTCAGTACGAATAACATTTCGAGGGGAACTATATAATTTTTAGTATCTCTCACACACACAGACATACGTATAGGCATAAAATTGCATTTTAAAATGGATAAAATATTTAATAAGTTACATTACAAAATACATAACTTCTTAATTGTGGTAGTTTAATTATCAACATTTGTAACGCCCCACTTTTAATTGTCAAAAGTCAGAATAAATTTTTCGAAATTTATTTCAAACACTTGAGGCGCTACTCATTTCCAAAAACAATTTCAACATTATCATAAATGCAACTCCCAAACGGGTTCAATATTCATGCCAACACCCAAACTGGGTTCAATATTTATGCTAACACCCAAACCGGGTTCATCAAATTCATAAATACTAGGGAGTACACTCCCTATCAATAATCCGAAATCTAACGTAAATCAGAAATGTATAAATAATACTAAGCAGTTTATGCAGCGGAAATAATCAGTAATATGACCACCACTCGCCTCCCTCTGTCGTGCCCGCACTTACTAACCTGCATCAATGAAGAGCAGGTGGGGATGAGCACAATAGGAAATCGAGGTGCTCACCACTATGCAATAAACATTTACATATCAAACGGTAACAGAGAAAGTACGATCACGACATGTATTTGAATCAATTCAAGTATCCCAGGTTTCATCGTAAATTCACAGTGTTCAGACTCATGTGCACATCTATACCAATAGACTACTGCCGGCAGATGTATCGAAGGCCCTCACTCGGGTCATGCTTCGAATGCCCCATGGGCTCTACATCTATGCCCTCCGGTCCTACACATCGAATCGCCCCACGGGCTTCCATCGATGCCCGGTCAGTAGGAGTAACCCCTCGGGTTTATTTTCATAAATACGGGATAACCGTTCGACGGCCGGTACAGCTCACATCGAAGGCTACATGATTCGTAAGCACGCATTGATCATATTCAAGTAAAGTAAACAATTTATTGCATAGACAATTTTTAAATAAAACCCACCTGGATGTAGCAAGAGGTATAGCCAAACACAGAATTGAAGGAACAATGGCACAAGTTCAGCTCGAAGGACCTACAACAATTTATAAGGACCTATCACTGACTGCCCAATACAAAACAACACATAAGGCACATAAACTTAGCCGAAATCATATCGACTAAGTGACTCGTGGATTCCTTAACCGAGTTAGGTACTTTGGAGTTATTACCCGACCTGGACATGACTCAAATACATCAAATAATACACATAAATCATGCCAACATCAAATAAATCTCATCCGAACCTAACCAACCGATAACCGAACAACAAGACTCCAAAATAAACAAAATTCGAAATAAGAAGTTAGGCTCAGCCAATCAACCTGAAACTTTACCACATTATAAGGCATATAAAAACACATAAATTCACCAAAATTCAGCCCTAAATTCATCCGGGAACATTTTCAAATAACTTAAGCAAAAACAACGTCAAAATTGGCATTTAACGGTTCGCATAGCTACCCTTCGAGTTTCAGTCTGACATTTTAACACCATCTAAAACATCATAAAATAACAGGTTCCTGAAAGTTTCAGCTCAAAACTCCAAGTGTACAATTTTTAATGATTTTTACAAGTTTCTGCTCAAAAACCGTTTTAACCATTTGAACTCCAAAAACTCAGAAATAAAATCAGGGGCTTGGCACACATATTCCATATACTCAGGGGCACAACATGTCAAACATTCAGCTCAAATGGATAACAAATCGATTTATGGTGAATTTATTACTGTTCAGCAGCATGCTCGGTTTAGAAAAATCGTATCTCTCAAATTATAGCTCGAAACGACTTCAAACCAAAACTAACAGATCAAGGACAACTCCAAGTACCTATAACTCTAGGATTTCCACGAAAAGAACCACATATATTCAGTTCGACAATTTTTCAAAGTGAGGGCAATCACTTTTATATCCAATTTGCGAATATAAAACAAAGTCCATACAATTACTCAACTAAGGCACGAATTTAAATTCACGAAGCACGTTTAACACTCATTTCACATAATCCAGCACATAAAATAATATATAGGATTAAGCGAGACGGGTCGAGCCTTGTACCGTTATCGGGATTCGATCGAAAACGAAAACGAAGGGCCGAACGGCTATCTCGCGGAGTGGACAACTCGTCCGTTTGCGCCTGACGGAGCTCGCTGAAGGTCGAGGGCTGAGAGTGATGTCCGCGGAGGAGCAGGTCGCGATGTCTGGTCGAACGAGGCTCGACGGCTTACCGCTGCTAACCCTTACGACAAAAGGCTGCCAGTTGTTATCCTCGCACGCGCCCGAAAGGCCCCTGCTCGACGGAAAACGGAATCCGGCCGCTGCTGTGAAGGAACGGCTGCTGCGAACGAGGGCTGACGGGGTGCCGCTGACGTTCGGGCTGTCTGCTGCAGCTCGAAAAGGAGGTTCGATGAAATCTGAAATTTGAACAGGGGCTCGCTTACAAGGATTTCTCGACGTGAATGGATAGAACGAGGGCCGCAACTGCTTGTGAAGGTCGCCAACAAGAATTCATCTCGTCTTGTTCGTCAGCGGAGGACAGAGGTTCATGGTGGGGACTCGCGAACCGGTGGAGAAAGGCAGCGGCGACTGGTTCACGTGGCCCGACGGATGCTCGCCGGATTCGCAGTCACGAGGAGGAGAGCGATCGACGATGGTTCTTCACGATGGGGCTGGCGGAGCTTCACGACGAGAGGACTGGTTCTTGATGGAAGGTGGTCGCCGGAGTTCGCTGCTGGCCTGCGGTGGCGTGAGGGCTGCAAGTCGCCGGCAGAGAATGGCAGTTCGCGGCGGAGAATCGCGCAAGGGTTGTCGGCGTCTGGCTTTTTCGCGACTGGGGATGGCAGAGGGATGATGGCGACGGGATGAATATGGAGGGGGTGATCGGAGGTGGTGAGGCGATCAGATTTTGCCGGAGAGGGTGACTGGTCGCGGCGGCGCGATGGCGAGAGGGGATGGTGGCGGGGTGAATTTGCAGCGAAGGCGAGGATGGTGATGGGATGACGATGGTGATGAGAGGGGTTGATGACGATCGATCAAATATTCAGAGTTCTTGAGCGTGAGATGAGGTTGCAAGATGAAGACGATGAGATGGCTGCGGGATTGTTTTCTCACGCGTACAAAATAAAAAGAGGGACTAGGGTACAATTAAGGAGATTAGGGTTAATTAATCCCATCTTAACCCTCAAGACATACACTCACACATGTGGTGAACCGGGTCGGTGAGAGGAAAAACCGGGTTCGCGGGTTTAAATGAAATGATTCGGCCCAGCTCTCGGGCTCAACTTTCGTTTTCTTTGGGCCCGACAGATTAAATCGGATCGGCTCGAAAATTAAATCGCATGATGAATACATAACCGGATATAATATATTATTTTATAATACACACAATTTAATTTTTAAAATAATAATAATATTAGTAAAAATACAAATACACATTTTTTTTAATTAAATAATAACACTTAGACAATTAAGCAATTTGACAATTAAATCATATTCGACAATTAATAATTTATAGCATTGAAACAAATAATAAGAACAACAAATAATAATAGTAATAATAATAATAAATAATAACCCTAAAAATTTCCATAACCAAACGGGGCATTACAATCTATCCTCCTTAAAACATTTCCGTCCTCGGAAATGTGAAAGAACACATATTAAAAGGGAACGATAGATTCGCACAGGAGTTCCCAATCACGTGGTCCGACATCATTCTCCGGAACTCGATTCCGTTCCCATGAGTCCTATCGCCTTCTACTCGAAAGGCATGTACTCACATACAGAAACCAATCCGACTTGCCCTATGCTCATATGTTTACCTTCTTGCTTGGGAGGGTGATCAGTCCTGCCCGAGCTCAGGCGTACATCTTCTTGCAAGGGACCCAGTTCGGTTTAGCCTATAATCATGAGTATCAACGACTTGCTTTGTACCTAACAACACACAAGACCTCGACAGGTCTTTGGTGTATTGTCAGCGTAGTCCGATTACTTCTCCATAAGGTGATCACGTGACGCCAAATTTCAGTCTCGAATCCTAGTCACACTGATAATTTGTTCACGATTTCATCACAGACCGTGCGTCTCCATCAGAGACCACAACACGGTACCACATACATAAAATACGTCACCATCAAGCTCACACTCTCATGATATCGACTCCACGAGTTGAACGCAACCCTTATGTGCAACATAAGGCTTGACTCAAAGCAACACTACATTCCCAATTTGCCGACTCGAGAAACTCTCAAGTAAAGCATAGGGACTCATCGACCACACTCCTTAATCAGAAATCATCGATTAAGGATTTATGCACAATTTAGTGGAACTTGGGGCTCTCGGTTCAAGGTTCGAGGTAACATAAATAGCTCAGCAAAAACTGGTCGATCAACGAAATGAATAGAAGGTTTCGGGTTAGTGTACTGTCACCCAAGAGGCGGCACGCTAGCTGGCGCTGCATAAGCGGGGCTGGGACGCGTGCGTACCCACCTACTCAGAGACCAGCTGCAAGGTCGAGGCTTGGCCGCACATGCTGGCCCGGGGAGTTTGTGCGTTCGGTGATGGCGGCTGCAGTTCGCATGCGAGTCAACGGTCGGCCGCGCGCAAGCCTTCCGTCTCTCAGCACGGTCGTGCGTGCTCGGCCACCACTTCGTGTGGCTACACCCAGTCAGGGTCGGCGTTTGGTCCAGGTTTTCACAAGGAGTTACAGTTCAAGGCTACCAAAAAGGAATGATTTTACCAAATTTCAAAAATTTTGGGGGTCAACAAAACATCATATATTTCAGGTATTCCACAATTTCAAAGTTCAAGGGTTTCCGAAAATAGAGAGGTATAAGTTCGAGTTCCACTTCCTCGGTTAGCTAATCGTGTCAGCAGTCCTAAACGAGCGCAACTCACTTCTCAATTTTCACACTTTGGAATTTGAACGCGAAGTTCCTCCCGAGATTCCGAAAGGAGGAAAAGAACAAAAATTTACGATAACCCAACTTTAGAATAAGGACGGGTCCGCACCACGCGATGTGCTTGTTTCTGACTCGTCTATCCTCCTTAAAAGATTTCTGCATAATTCTTTAAGGTGGAAAAACACTCCATCTCGATAACAGCAGGAGATAACACAAAAGCACTTATAGGCGGCGAGCTCGGCTCGTCAAGCACCTTAATTAAGTCCAGATGTTATATTTAACATCCACTTAGACTTAAATGGAATTCACAATTATACTCAGTCGAACTTAATTCGACTAAGTTGTTCGTGAAGTCCTGTAGACGTTGGAACACTTAGACTCGACACTAAGACTCAACCAAATACACATGGGAGTTCACATAATCCAAAACAAACATTGACCAAGTCAAACACTTAAAGAATCAGAAAAACGAGTCGATTCATAGTTTTTTATTGCAAAAGCCATATTTTAAAAACACCAGATTTTAATCACAAAATTAGGTTGGTCAGGTTATCGTACGAATTTAACTTTGAAATTTTTACCAAAATTCCACCTCTCAGAATTAAGCAATACCACAAATTTTTATCCCCAACTCAAACTGTGCTATTTTATAAAATTCGAGCAAGATTATTGCAAAAATGAGCATAATTTAGCAACCAGAATAAATGAATGAATTAACCTATGAAAGTTTTATACCACAGAATACAGCATGAGATTAGAAACATATCAAAATTTCAGCCCTGGACATTAACTGTACAAATTTTAAAAATTTCTACAAGTTTCAGCAGTTATCGAAATTCAGTTAAAACCAAATCAAATTGAACTCCAAAAATTTCCATCTTTTAACAGCATGAAAACACACATAATACAAGTACTTCAGCCAAGTTTCAGAATTATTCAACGACTAACCGATTTATGATAAATAAAACAACTTTCTGTTGAATCAGAGAATAAATTATTTACCCTAACAAACTTAGTAAGAAAATTCTAAAAGTTTTACACAACATATAATCATATCAGAGGCATGCATACTAAATTTTGAGCCAATTTCAATCACTACACAATTTATTATGCAATTAACATGAAACTGACCAGAAATCATTTTAATTATTTAAAATAGCTACCGGCCTTGGAAAATTATGAAATATTTACACAAGTCAGATGTTCAATAAAAAACAAGACCCTCAAAATTTCAAAGCAAACAGAGCAACATATAATTTTCAATAATTCCATCACTAAAACAGTGATTATTAAAGTTCAATAATTTATCTACGACTCGATTTACGACGAATTCGTCCGAAGTCTTCGCCATAAGACTAAGGACGATACAACGTTCCAATCCACAGCGACTATATCACGAATCGAGGAGGTCTCGTTTGATTTCTCAAAATCGAAGAGATCGTCCACATATGCACAACATATATTTAAACCAATTTCAAACTCATGAATACAAAATTAACATAGGCATATACACATCTTATGGTCTTAATAACCATGGTTACAGACCTCCGAATATCCCACACTTGAGACTCCTTCGGTTGTCTGCTCCCTTCGTTTAAGCCTTCTCCTTTCGAGATGGCTCGCGAATGGTCCTCTTACGAAGACACCAAAACACATCGAGAGAACTGTTATACATATAACTCAGCTCGATAACACCATATCCAATTTCTAAACAAACAATACCTCAAGTTAGAACTTAACTCTATATCGCTAGAGTTCAAGTTCATACAATTAAGGTTCGCCACTCTTCTAGAGTTCCAGAACGTTTAAAAGTAGGAGGATAAATTCCTAAACCCTGGTTTACATCTCATCATATTATCTCATAACTCAGGTAACTCATAATCGACTGAGTTGGCGAGGCACGACGAGAGCGAGTGGTCATTACTATATCATAGCATTCAATTATTCCTCAGAGTTCTCATAATACCAGTCTACAGAAACGCAGACTGGCTCTGATACCACTGTAACAGCCCAGTAAGGTTGACCCGTAGTGCGATATTGTCCGCTCTGGGTACTTTCATCCTTCCCCGCACGGTTTTGCCTTTAGGAGCAAGCTCACCAAAACGCGTCGCACTAGTGAAGGTATCCACAGCCACTTATATGGCATGCTTCGTTCTCCTTCACAACCGATGTGGGATATTACATCCAGCCCCCTCACAGGGGCCCAGCGTCCTCGCTGGCACATGGCCCGGGTACTGGCTCTGATACCAAACTGTAACGCCCCACTTTTAATTGTCAAAAGTCAGAATAAATTTTTCGAAATTTATTTCAAACACTTGAGGCGCTACTCATTTCCAAAAACAATTTCAACATTATCATAAATGCAACTCCCAAACGGGTTCAATATTCATGCCAACACCCAAACTGGGTTCAATATTTATGCTAACACCCAAACCGGGTTCATCAAATTCATAAATACTAGGGAGTACACTCCCTATCAATAATCCGAAATCTAATGTAAATCAGAAATGTATAAATAATACTAAGCAGTTTATGCAGCGGAAATAATCAGTAATATGACCACCACTCGCCTCCCTCTGTCGTGCCTGCACTTACTAACCTGCATCAATGAAGAGCAGGTGGGGATGAGCACAATAGGAAATCGAGGTGCTCACCACTATGCAATAAACATTTACATATCAAACGGTAACAGAGAAAGTACGATCACGACATGTATTTGAATCAATTCAAGTATCCCAGGTTTCATCGTAAATTCACAGTGTTCAGACTCATTTGCACATCTATACCAATAGACTACTGCCGGCAGATGTATCGAAGGCCCTCACTCGGGTCATGCTTCGAATGCCCCATGGGCTCTACATCTATGCCCTCCGGTCCTACACATCGAATCGCCCCACGGGCTTCCATCGATGCCCGGTCAGTAGGAGTAACCCCTCGGGTTTATTTTCATAAATACAGGATAAC